TATATTTAAATATTTTACTCCAGAGTTCATATTTTTACATATTTCTTAATACAGTAAAATTGGTTCAAACCGGAACGTATACAAGCCGGAAACCTGCCTTAACCGGAAAATTTCTCCAGCCTGTGAAATTAAATGGCATTTTACCCAGCATGAAATGGAAACGGTCCAACATGGAAATGGAAGAGCAAGGGTCATTGTGTTGCAGAACTGATTAGATCTGTTTGATAAAGTTGATGCTTTGATGTCCAATACAAAAAAAGTATTCTGTAAGGCTCACATCAGGCTAGTTAAATTTAAAGCGCATTTTCCGGGAGTACCTCTTCCTCTCCATTATACCTATATTAATAAGAACCCTAGATTTATGCTATGAACTACTATGTACAACATTTTGATTTTGTTTAACAAGTTATACATTGATTTGATTGTAAAGTTGCAGCATACATAGGCATATAAAAGCAACTGTTTGATAATGAGAAGCTGAAAAATAATATTGCCGATTTTAAGGCCAATTTTTCACTTCTAGGCACTACAATTAAATCTTTCGAGACATCTTCCCTGAAGCTTTCCGACAGCCTTAAAATTACCATCAACAGCCACTTCTTTAAAAATTATTTGAGGATCAATGGGGGACCTAATGAAAAAAAGATGTCTTAAGTTCTGGAGAAAAAGCTGCAATTTGAAACAATTTGTGCTATTAATGTAGTGCTATTTGGGGACAATTTCATCACACTGGATATGGACCACTCACCAGATGATTTGTGCAAGTTTAAATATGCACCAGTGACTTTGTGCAATGTAGAATGCTCTTGTAATATGAAATGAAAAATTGAATGAATAATTTGAAATAAAAGTATTTACATATATTATATAATAAATTTAATATTTATAAATTAAAATATTTTAAAATATAAGAGGAAAAATAGACACAAGACAGTTGAATCCTGTGCTGTGGAACTCTATTATTTCAATGAAGACCAAGAAACGCATGTATAGCTCCTTCATAAAGAGTAGAATACTCTTTGGAGCAGAAGTCTGGACCCTAACCCAAAATATGAGAGACAAACTTTGAACAACAGAAACAATATTCTGGCAAAGATACATTTTGATCAACTTTCTGTTAGAGAAAATAAGAAATAAAATGAAAGTGCAAAACAACTTTGAATGATGATCGAAATGAATCAACTACAATGATACGGACATATGAGAAGGTTAAAATCAAATAGACTTCCACAAAAAGTTTGGGAATAGACTGAAGCCTTGGAAAAAGAGAAATGTTGGAAAAAGGCCTATGGCATAAAGTGGCATGGGAATTGGAATACGGGAAACAGCGAAGGCTTTAGAAAAAACCCTCTGAATAGATTGACTTTTATAAAACAGATTTGATATAAAAAAAATACTATTGATATTAAATATGGCTACTGTACAATATCATTTTGTAAGTTGCAACACAGCATTTAATTGAACCTTTTGTCATTTGAGAAATAAGTTTTATTTAGATATTGTTGCTTGATGTCGTGTGATGTCCTAGCAGAGTGTGTCAATGATAATACAGCTGTCACAATATTTAGTCTTACCAGAAGAATGAGATGTTAAAGAGTTCATCATATCGTACCTCCAATAGAAAAGTGACACAAGTGCGAAATCGTAATTTTTCAGCTAAAAGCTGATAGGTTACCGAGAGGTACTGCTACTATTCTGAAGTTGATTTCGAATTAGTTCAATTCTTGTCTGCTAGAAGGTGAATTTTTGGTACAATCGATAACGAGTATTACAGAAGTATGAAACTTAAAATTGCGATTTCTGAGAAATCAGAAATTCGCACTTGTGTCACTTTTCTATTGGAGATGCGATATGGTTTGATAATTGAATGAGTCAAATAAAATTGTTTTTTTTTATACTGCCTTACAATGGATTGTAAAGTGAAAAATTGGACTAGATTCTGTCGCAACATGCTATCTGACACGTGGGCACACCCACATGAGCGCCAACGGTGCCACAGAAACATTGAACTGAAGATATCCAAGATTGATTATAAATATATATGACTATGGTGACCTCACTGCAGCAGTAAGCTTTTCACAAAATGGCCTTCAAGGTTCTGCATGTTGTTTTCCATCTAAAAAGGGCAAAAAACAATTTTATTAGTCTTAGTACACATCTGTAGGCTTTCTACCTAAGTTTAACTTCCAAATGAAGCTTAAAGTCTTTCTCTATACATGCTGTGTAAAAGAAGCCTTAGGTCTCTTAATACCTACAAAAGAGAACTTCTTTCTGGAATAATCTTCTTGAAAGTGTTTCTGCTCCAGACTTAGTTGAAAATTATTATAACAGACAAATAGAATATAGTTTGTAATGTTTTTATGTAGTATTTGGTGTCTACAAGTAAGTCATTTATACAGTTAACGACTCTACAATTAGTGTTGGGTGGTAATCATATTTATGAAGGTATTTTATATTGAGTTACTATTCTAAGGTGTAATAAACTTCTCGTTTTAATCTTATATTAATGTAATGGGTTTAGTGTTGCGAATACTGTATAATAGTAAAAATTTAACCTTTCTTATTCTTCGTCAAACCAGAGTATGGACAAATTTACAATCAAAAAATCAAAATTCAGAAATGATAAATATATCAGAAACAATCTATAACGAAATTTAAGAAGCAACCAAAATATTTGGGGGAATATATTAAATATCTCTTTGAGGCACAAGAGAAGTCTTGAAACGTAATTTACTCAAAATTATTTTTTCCCATACTGTATTTTGGCAAGGAGAAGCTGCGTTGTCAAGTATTTGCTTGAGATTTTTCTGCTGTTACATTTTACATTCTTGTAAATTTATGCAACGATGTTATAACATTACATTTTGAAACCTTTATTTCTGTATTGAGTGACCTTCATGATTTTATCATAATGTACAATATTAGTTTCTGGTCTTTTATAGAAACCGTTTCTAAATGATGATAATAATTTCTTTCTTTCTTGTTTCTTCCTTAGGTGTTTTTCTTCAAAGCATGGCATATTGGTGGCAATGTTGAATGTAGCAAGACACTTATTAAAGATTTCAAATGGTTATGCACAGAAGATTTAAACAGTACTTTGCAAAATGATGTTTATTATAATAGCGTTTCTCAGTTTTTAATTGTTCAGTAATAGTTTTATGTTTAGTAAGTCGAGTGATGTATACTTTTCCTTTTGATGCACAGTTGTCTGGGCATTTTGAGAGGACATCATCATCATAATCATCATCATTTTCGTCTTCATCATGAGAGCGAGTGTTTGAATGCCATTGTGTGTATATGAGTAGTTTATGTTTAAAAATAAAAAAAAAATTGTTCAATTGAGAAAGTATCAACAATTTTTGATACTGTAATGGAGTATTGCATTTTATTTCTGTGTGTAACATATCCAATCTTTTCCAGAATTTCTGTATTTATTCCACGAATTCCTTCAAGATGTGTATTATACACAAAAGTTTTCTTGAGCCCTGAAATACCTTACCTCACTCCTTCACTAACAGTAGTTGAAAATAATAGTAACGAGCTTTGTTGACAAAATCCCATGACCAGAAATGTTCGCTCCAGTGTGCTTGGTTTTGCTTTGACAAATGATCCACAGATTTGTTATAATAGTCCTGTGCTCAAAGTAACGAATCTTTAAACCTCTCGCATCTAGTGAATGAGGACTCAAGAAAATATGTGTAGATATGTGTTTCAGTGTCAACAATTTATCTTTCAGATACAGAAGCAACTTTTTTTCAAATGTGTTATTTCAAGCTCTAATGACTAAAGTTTATATTTTGTTTAATTTTTACATGTCTTCCACTGCAATTGAGAATCAATTCTTCACTTTAGACAGCAAGAAGGGGGCATCCTCCCC